GAGCGGGTCTTCGCGCTGCCGGTAGTTATGAGGAGCCCCTCCCCGTCGAACAGCTGCTTTTCTGCCACCTGTGCTCCCGGGCTCAAGACTCCATTTCTTCCTTCTGTTTGGTAAAACCAAGCAGTGTCAGTCTTAAAGCTGTGCTGCCGGGTTTTTTTGGGGAGTTTGTTTTCCGTTGTTGTTTTTTTTAAAATTTTTTTTGGGTTTTGGGTTTTTTTTTGGTGGTATGTAACGTTTCAGAGGGTGCTTTGGAGCTGAAAGCCACCAAAGGATCTGTGTGGTCCGGGAGGTCTCAAGAAGAAATGCGAAGGCTTAGCTATGCACGTCTTCATTTAAGACACATCTGCAGTACAGTGATCAATTTTAGATAGCTCAGGGGAGAAGGAATTCTAAATATTTAAATATAAAAGCAGAAAACATTGCCTTCCTTCTGATGAACCTGCATGTGTTTTGAGAAAATCACTTCACTTTTTGTCAAAAATAAGTGTTCTGGACCTGATTTTCCCCTGCCTGGCCATGGGCGAGCACTGACAGCTCTGTAAAGTTTGGTCATTCCGATTTGGTGTCAGTTTACATCCCATCTCACACAATCTTCCGTATTTCCCCACGGCGTGTTGTGGAGACAGACTGGAGACCCTGGGCCTCAAAGGAGGTCTCTTCTGAGGCGGTGCTTTAGCAAGCATTTAGCCTGTGGTTGTGGTAGGGAGAGACCCTCTGCTGCCCCATGTGTTAGGTTGGCTTGTGTAGGTGCACAGTGAACGGGAAACTGATTTGGTTAAAAAACCCCCTAATTTACAGATTCTTGTGGCCGTACTGATACGTGACTAAGAACACTCCTTGTGCACCGTGTAACTTTGTCAATGGGCTGCATGACTGAAGATTTAGTAAAATGATGAAAGAAAGTATTGTAGCACATATATACAGGATGCAGAAGTGTTTAGCATCAAAGGCCTGGTTTGATTCAGCAACCACGTGTACTTCCGAATGTTAAAAAATAATATACGTTTTTCTTTCACTAGCCTGCGGTTGATGCAAAATGAGTGTTCCTGACTACATGCAGTGTGCTGAGGATCATCAGACTCTCCTGGTTGTGGTTCAGCCGATTGGCATTGTACCCGAAGAGAGCTTTTTCAGGATCTACAAGCGAATTTCAGCAGTGAGTCAAGTTAACGTGCGTGACTCTCAGCGTGTGTTGTATATCCGTTATAGGCACCATTATCCCCCAGAGAACAATGAATGGGGGGATTTTCAGACACACCGCAAAGTTGTGGGGCTGATAACTATTACGGACTGTTCTTCTGCGAAGGACTGGCCTCAGACTTTTGAAAAATTCCATCTTCAAAAGGAAATGTATGGTTCTACTCTCTATGATTCCCGGTTGTTTGTCTTTGGGCTTCAAGGAGAGATTGCAGAGCAGCCCCGCACAGACGTGGCGTTTTATCCTAGTTACGATGAATGTGAAACTGTGGAGAAGAGAATAGAAGATTTTATCGAATCCCTCTTCATAGTGTTGGAGTCTAAGCGGCTTGACAGAGCTACCGATAAGTCTGGAGACAAGATCCCGCTCCTCTGTGTTCCTTTTGAGAAGAAGGATTTTGTAGGTCTCGACACAGATAGTAGGTAAGCAGCTATTTTTGTCAGCTCGCAGGTCTTGAAAAACGTATGTGGCCATTGCTTGCCTTTAGAATAAGCCTATTAGAAAGGACAAAGCATACTTTGTTACAACAGGGGTCATGCCCCTATCTTATTGTGTAGTCTGCTGTAATTTAAGAGAATTTAATTTGTAGTCTGACCATATTTGATGTTTTGAGGGTTTTTTTATATATATATATATGTTTAATTTATGAGGCTAATCAAATAGTAGGAAGAAGTCACAGGAGAGGTTTGACAGATTCTGCTATAAAGGGACTTTTTGCTGGAAAGCTTCAAACTGTTTATAGATATGCAGTATTAATAAAGAAATTCAATTAGCATCGACAAAAAGTAATTTTGTTCTATGTTGAGTAGTATTTGACTAATCCTATTTACTGTGGGTTTTTTTTTTTCTGAAGCCTCTGTCTACTTTTTCATCCTATGAAATAGTGACCATTTATTTTGGTGACTAAGTTCAGCATCTTTCCATGTCTTTCATTTTTATTTAATTATTTGATATTCCTGACCAGTCTTGTTCTGCTACCATTCTTCTCACAACTGTTCTCTTTGGGTTTGTGTATGTTAGTTTTGGGTCATGTCCACCACCCCCCTTCCCCCCCAATCACATCTTTTCATTTGCATGCTCAGCTTTCAGATTTGAGTGTCACATAGTTTTCATATTAGGGATTAGTAATTCTGGCCTGCTAGCTACAGGCAGGTGCAAAATGTGTTCGACTCCACTGTTCGCAGTCAAATCTAAAGGACAGAAGCAGCCGTTTTCCTTTTGTCTTGGAAAAGATAGAGGTGTGGAAGCCCTATCAAAATATATAGGATGCATGGGAATGGTGTCTTTCACGTCTGTCATGTACTACTAGGGATGCTGGTAGTGGTTATTGTGTGTAAAAGCTCAGAGGTATCCAGGCTGGGTTGTCCAGAGCTGTCCAGGCCAGTTTGCAAAGCCTTCTGATCCTGTTAATCAGCTCTGCCTGCATAATTAGTCCTAGCCTTAGAATCCCTGTATAAGAATGTGATATACTGGAAGAAAGTATTCTAAGTTTCTAATTAGTTTGAAGCCCTCCACTAAATTATCTCTGGTTGCTTGAAGGGCCAAGAGTACCTTTCTCCCCTGCTCCCGGTCCTCTTTGCTGGTAAACAGAGCAAGTTGAACGTGCTCTGACTTGCTTATCCAATGTTGTTCCTTACTCGAGCTACTCTTTCAGTGTTGTGGTTAATCCCCATACTGTTCAACTTTCATTAGTGATATAAATTACTGTGTTATTGTTTTTTGTACTCTGCATGGGTGGTAAAGTTTTGGAGATGAGATGAGCCCTTTTTAGAATCTCAGCTTTAATTACTCAGTTTGGATGAATTTTAGTTGAACGTAATCACTAAGACTTCCTGTTCCTAAGGAACTTAGCTTCCTTTCCTGTAGCTAAGAAAACTACGGGTTTTGGCCAAGAATCTCAAAATCAGAATTAATTATGCTGTTCAATTGTGTCGTCTAAATAGCATGCTTCCACATTGGACTTTGGAAGTCAGTTCCTTACATAAATTAATTACTTACGAGCAGTGGCTGTGTTGTAGCTGGTGGCTAAATATTTCCCATGAAGTTGTGAACCGGTGGGGAGCTCAAATAACAGGTAGTATGTCTGTCCACACATATCCAAGAAGATATTTTATGCAGTTGCACTGAAGAGTTGAAACAGATTTAGTGTGATGCTTGAATTCTTTGCATAATGGAAGGTGTATGACTCTAGTTCTGTAAACATACGGGTTATACAGAGTTAATCACTGGTTCAGATATGCATACAACCTTGCTGGGTGGTCTGAATACCAAATAGACTCTTTCAGTAAGTCTAGATCAATGGATATACTTTAAATGTTGGCTGCACTTAACTGCTCAAAGAAAAGGTGTTAAATATTTGAATCTTTCGTCTTTCAGTTCAATAGTAAGAAAAATTTTCAGCTTTATTTTGCTGTGGAGTTAGTACTTCTGATTGTTTTCAAACTTAGGACTTATATATGAATAGCATAAGCAAGCTGAATTAAAAGATCTTTATATTCTGTTTAGTATTTTGCGTGGCTGAGTAAGGAAATACTCTAAATGCCTGGACTTTTTTTTTATATTTTTGAGTTTCGTAACAGAAAGGAGAAATTCATGTAATCCCAAGTAAACATCAGAAAAAAAGGAGTTGTCCTTGATTGAGTTAGAAATACATGTGCATAGCGTACCTGAGCTTCTCTGCACAGGCACCTTTCATGTAGCATGACGTATGTTTGCTTCTGTGTTCTACATAGCAGAAATTCAGGACCATGAAATGTCATTGAACTAAGATCAGTTTATTAAACTAACCTACACTTTCAAACCCAAATCTTTAGATGTGAAATAGTAGTATATCGTGTTTTATTACTTTGGTTGCAATAAAAGGTTTTTATTGTAGCATGTTCTCTTTTGTGGTGGCAGACTCCCTAATTAAGGGGAAAGCATTGCATTAAGTCATAACAGGGACGTGCAGGGCTATAAAGGATCTTCTTCAACCAAGTCCAGTTTCTGTTTTTGCAAGATGCGATGTTGTATAATTCTGTTCAGGGAGGAGTAAAGGTTGTCTGAATGCAGGGAGTGCATGTGAGAACATCTGGTAGAGTAACTTTTGCTACTTTGTTGGTTTTGAGTCTGTTGGCATAATGAGTTTAAAGAATGAAATAAAAATAATGATGATGTTACTGAGATACTGAGGCAAATGAAACAGCTTTTTCTAGAATAGGTGAAAATTTCTAAAGGGTTAAAGGCCAAGAATGTCCCCTTACTCTTTTTTTATATACCCTCTGTCCCTTTTTAAAAATTTCTTGTATATATTGTATCCTGACCTCCCAGTCAGTCTGCAACTAACTGGTTAAAAAGCACAAATTCTACATTAAATAGATGGAAGAGAAGGCACACTCTCTGTGCGTGTAACAGAGAGTATATGTCTTGGCTGCTGGAGTTGCAGATGTCTACTTAGGCTAAATAAGCATATCTTTTCCTGTAACTTCTAAAACTGAAGTTAAATTTCACAGTGTGTAGCAAAGGTCTCATTAGATGTAGAGTGCAGCTGTAACCTTGAGCTAATGAACTGAGTTGATACGTTGAGTGAAAATACATTAAGAAGTTACATGGGACATGGTAATTATGATCACGTGACTTGAAGACTAATTAAAACTACTGAACTTTTTTTGTGTCTTGAAAGAGAGTTTTCGCCAAGCAATTTATTGTAAAATATTAAGGTTAATACTTACGATGATCAGGATTCTCTCTCACCCAGTTAGTAAGCCTAGCATTAACTTGGTTGCATAATAATTGCAACGTGATTGGATTCTTTCAAGATGCAGGGTTCATAAATTAGGGAGATGGATTATTATGCTGCATTTCAAATAAGATAGTTCTCTGAAAAAGGGGGGCTGATCTCTGTCTCTTGCAAGTTGCTTGTATAATGAGCAGAGGAGACGACATTCCCATGACTTGTACTGAGATGACAATATACGCAAAACCACTATATTATTTGCGTAGAAGAATTTTTTTTGGCTGGTAGAAAACTTTATGTAGTTAGTGGGAAATAGTGGGTTTAAGTCCTAAGAAGTTTTGAAGAAAGATTGTCCTGTTAAATAGAAGTTTTGTGGGACTGTGAGTCTGACCTTGGTTTAACTCCCAGAGCACTCAGCCAATAGATGATCTTGGCAAATCTGTTCATTTTTCTTTCTGTTTCTTCATCTGTAAATTAGGTGAAATATTTATGTGGCCACAGGGCTGCTGAGGATAATTGAAAAAGTTTCTGAAATCAGTTGCACTTGATAGTTATTTGTAGAGGCCAGGAGACTGATTGAAAAGAAGGGAAATGAATGTTCTCATGATGATACAAAGGTCCTACAAACTTGAAACTAGGAAACATACTTGCCAGAAATACCAGAAATCCCATTTGTTTAATTTTTCTATTTTATTTCTGTTTTCAGCTAAAAAAAAATAAACATACTCATGTATGATTATAAATCTGCTTGGATAAGCTCATTTTAATGTTGTTCACATCAGTTTGTGTCTTAGGTTCTTTCTTTTTTAATACTGGTAAGGCATCCATTTAATACTATTGAGCGATGAGAAAGTAGGGCTCTATTTATAGATGTGTCTTTCTTTACACAGTATCATAGATGGGATTTGTTCACTGATTTATCAAAGTTTATGATATCTCAGTATGTGTATGTGGCTGTTAATTTTCTTTCTGTTCTCTGTCCTTCTAATTTTTTTGTTCCTTTTTTTTTTTTTTTTCCTTCTTCTCTCATACTGCCCTGTGAGTTTGTTGTTGGGTCTGAAAAGGTAGGCTGTGATTGCATATATTTAAAAATAGTTAGCTTTCTTCCATGTACTGCCTTTCCACCCCGCCTTCATTGCATATTTTAGTGTTGCTTTTTATATTTATTTTTCAGTACACACACAAATTGCTGCCTGGAGCCTTACTACTGTGGTGGACCCCTTTTGGCGCATTTGGCAACTGTATTTGGTAGCAATGCTGAATTTTTTTATGGGACACACATTTGCTTAGGCGGCTGTTGGCCTCTGGAATTTGCTTTATTTTTTAAACTCCAAAGCCATGAAGCTGTTGCTGCCTGTGTTTGGTTTCCAAATTCAAAAGTTCTGGCAGTTGATCAAACGCCGTAGCTGTGTCTTAAGTCTGAATAATGTTATGATTGGTGATATCTATAGTTCTGCATGCTAATTTGAATTAGCGGAATTTGATGGAAATTTTTGTTGAAGCATTTTGCATGAATACTTTTGCAAATTCATTTTGCATGTTTCTTGTTTTTAAATTTAGCCACTTCGAAATTTTGAGGATCCAGAAATTCCTTCAAACCTGTTGCTGGATGGTTTGTAGTGAAAATAAATTCTGTCCTGAAATATAATATTGTTGCTCTGAATTTTCTGTAAAATTATCCTGGGATCCTAGAAAGGAGTTGGGGAT